TTTTATGCCGCACATGAATATAAATGTCATGCAAAATGATATTGATTACATGCTCCATTTACTCTCATGACTATCCATTGGAATTTAGTAGCATTGCCGAAAAAACTGCTCTCTCACATAACTTGATGTTTCGTTAATACTTAAACGAAAAAACCTATTATATCCATTATAATTGATTAAATACATACCACACATTGACATTCTTTACAAAAATAAACATGCTCACTATATTTGTCATGTGTCGTAGGTTTCGTTTTCTAGTTTAAAAACATAAGGTTTGTCTTATTAATATGTTTCGATGCTAGAACGATGAAATCAACAATATACTTGTTATCAAAATCTATTTTTTTTAGCAATATGATGCTTGTTAAAAATTATAAAAAAACAAAAAGTTATATATAATAGAAATTCTTTAGGGTGTCGAATGAATGAGAATACTACGTAATTACGTCTTAAAGTATTCATCATCATAAGAAGAATCTCTAATTTTGAAAATGTTAGCAGAATATCATTAATTATGGTAGTCAGTCTTTGCAGAAAGCAAAAGTTTGCTGTTATTTTACAATCCTATTTTGCCTAATAAAAGTTTTTATATAATGACTGAAACAGACACTGTTTATCATTGTATAAGATGGCATTAAAATGAATAAAATAAATATATTATACATATTTTTATGAATTCTGCTTAATGATGATTCTCGTTCTTATCAAACTATTGATAAAATTACGTTAGTTTATAAAGAGTTCTTGAAATCAACTTTTGACACAATACGAAAGCTTACAAAATCAAGTTTAAGCTAACAACTGTGAAGCTGAACAAGCTGGCCATTTACTATAACTAGTTATATTTGAGGAGCAGATTTTGGATTTTTGAAGAAAGATGTGTGTGTCTAGAAAAGTATTCAACGGTGATGATGAACAACAGATATTGGAGAAACACTCGGAAACAGGTTAACGACTAAAAATGTTTTAAAATTTCAAGTATTTGCAATTAAATTTTGATTGAGCTTTATCTAGTATGATTATATTTAGATTCAGCCACAAAAATCAACATAGGAGATGAATATCACTACTATAGTTTTAATCATGATCATGTGGATTTGTGAAGAATTCGTACTGAAGAAAACATTTTCTTGTAATGTAAGAAACGCACTTGAACAGCAATGCAATTCATTTTAGAGCAATTAAAAATGAACTTGAAGTGGCATAGTAAAGTTGACAACATATCAGTCATGTATATGAGGCAGTGAGAGCGAATTTACTCATTAGTGTCTGTGTAGAAATCACTTTGGTCGAATTTCCTATTGGCTAAGCCTATGTCATCTGGTACTTGAAGCGCAGTCAACTTCGCAAGGATATTGCCCGGCTATATTTATAACCAAACAACTACGGTAAAATTCAGTTAGAAATATTAATCATTCAAATTGAGAAATTATCAATACAATTATTAAAATAATTTAATCTACTGAACAAAAAGTATTAACAGCAGATTGCGCTCTTATAAATATTTTGTATCGAAAAAGCTGAAGAGCAGCTTTTCCCAATGGGGATCATAACTATCAAGAAAATTAAGTGTTTCTTTAGTTTACTTCCAGTATGATACCTTTAATGATGCAAGAATATGAATATGCTTCTTTCTTTAAGTTGTCCTTAGCATAGTCGTTTCATCAAAGATCTTTACTTTGTTAACATGAGTATTATTATATTTAAAACCATGAAACCATGAAATGCGTAAATCAGTAAAATGAGCTTGTTAAACACAATTATTTAGTATAAAAATAACAAACACTAAAATCATGTAACTTACCACTAGGCATATTATTCATTTGAAAGAAACTTACTCATTAATTCTTTTGACTTTATTTTTTATTGTTGCTAAAAGTAACTCATCGTTTTGACATGAACCTAAAACTTGAAAAAAGGATAAGGGCACCCAACAAAATCTTTGCATCTTAAAGAAACACCGATATTTAACTTAACTCTTGATAATATTGAAAAGATATTTTCAAAGTATTGTATATATTCATGTTAATAGAAATTTATAATTGTTTTACTTTGAAAAACATTTTTGTTATTAGTTAGATGATCATCAGTTTCGAACGATCATCATCATTTCTAAATGGAATAGTGTTACAAACTTCATTTGTTCCTTCTAAATATTTAACAAAAATGTGTCAGATTCGAAAGAATTTTTATACATCCAGTTTAAAGTTTTCATTTCAATTTGTTATTTTATTTAATCAACCAATCGTTTTTAAATATGTTTAAATAAGAAAAATTGAGAATAAAAGCTACGATTAAGGAATTTCTTTGACGCCTTGTCAATGACATTTATAATTGGTTCAATTATTGGTATCATTCAATTTCTGATTTCTTGTTATCATTCATTTGATTTTACTATTAAATATAATATCTGTATTCTCAAGATGCCATTTGATCTGCAAATAATTTCTCTTATATATTTCCATCAATGAATTCTAATAACTACTTTTGTTAGTTTAATAATTTTATGTAAGCAAGAACAATTTATTTACTTTCGTCGTCAATCTCGAAATCATCATACAATGAAACCTATGTTTTAATTAGTTATACCAAGATTGTCGTGGTAAATGATATGAAAGTAAGCATGTTGAAGCTTACGTTACTCAATAATTCTAACTAAAATTATTCTTGTCATATATCTTACTATTCTTTTGCATTTATTGAATTTTTATATTTATTTTTATTCATATAAAACAAGTTCGTGGCGAATCATTCTAAACATATCCATTTGCACGAATGTTATCGTCCAATCTTAGACCTTCACACTGATCATGTCTAATGTCGAAGAGATGGAAAAAATTATCTTATAACTCGAGTCCGTATGTAGATCGATGTCGGATTCGGAATCTTCTTGATAAATTGAGAGAAAAATTATATTTGGTTCATATGATCTATGATCTATAAAATAAATGAAACGATCAATACAGGAAATGGATGATCAGTTATGATTTAATTAAATTTGTAAATAATTTTAAAAATCAGTAAATACAATTGATTAACAGTCGATTATATTAAAGAATCAGTGTAAACGTTGAAATGGTTATAGAATGACTTAATTTTGTTTTTCTTTTCCTGTATCTCTTCAACTGTTCTAATTTTGTTCTTGACCTCGTCATATACTTCTGTTAATCTACATATTTCCTGAAGAAGAACAATCATTGTTGTAATTCTTCTTATTTTTCATTTCTTGAAAGAACGGAAAAAAAGTTTCTCGACTTCTTTCCTGAAGGTTGTCTTTATCTATCCTCTGGAATAGATATTTAGTGTGTTTCAAATAAAAATAATATATTTCGCATTTACAAATTTTAATGTTTTTGCAACTATGGAAGTAGTAAAAATTTGTCAATATGAAAAATGGTATATTAGATGAAGTGATGGTGAAAGAAGATCATGAAATAAGTGCAAATAAAACAGAATAAAAAAGTACAAATAACACCCTAGCGATAATCAATAAACAACTTAAAGATGATGGAACATTTCGAGAATGCTATGTTTTTTCCAAAAGTTTTGGACAATGTCTTCCAATATTATCAATAATTGATGAAACAAACGAGATTCATTCTTTCTTAATATAAGAATATTTGCTACAGAATCAACAATATCTTTAGAATTATGGAGTTTATCACATCAATGAGCTAAATCAAATAAAGAAGTTCATTTGTATTTCTAACCGTTCTTCGAAAAAGTATCATGTAACAGTTCTTAATTTATAATCGATTACATGAGACGATTTAAATAAACATAAATAATAAGATGGGCAACATTTAGCAATTCAAAAATCATTAGATATTTAATTTATGAGAAGTAGGTATGGCTATTCGTTTGAAATATTGTACTTACAGTTAATAAACTGACCATTTTACAATTAATTAATGGTAATTTTAGTACTGATCATTTTATCTATTTTACTTATAACTTAAATACCAGCTATTGTATTTCAGGTAATGCAATCATCAATGTACAGATTAAGTAAAGATTTGACTAGTTACATGAATTTTCTCATAAAAGCAGTTCTAATATATAAAATTCTTCATGACTAATTGATTCAATAATGATCGTACTAAATGAAATATCATTGTTATCTATCAATGCATTATAGAGATTTCGAATCTGGCATCGATCTATAAACTGATTTAAGTTGTAATATTAACTTGCTCAGTTCAACATTCGACTTAATTTCTATTTGGATGCTAACATACATATTATGACAGAAAAAAGGTAAATTATTTGAATTATCAGTTGACTATTTCATTATCACATAGACCTTATTTTTTTCAATCTCATTCTTTTCTTTGTGATGATAAATACTTGTATTTACTATTTCAAATGAGTATGAATATATATTTTCATAAATCATATATCCTCTATTGAAGAAGACAATAACAAAAAAGAATTCATAAGGTAATTCAACAAACATGTTTTATGTAAAATTATAGTCTATTTCACTTCTCGAATTACTTAATTCGTTTTATCAACATCCTTATATCCGAATAACTCATAGTTCTACCACAAATCATAATATATAAAACGCAAGTCAATAGCTGTATTAATCATGTTTTTATTCAACTGGTTAACATTTTTTCGATGAGCTATATTTCAAGAATATATGCTCGGTAGATATGAACTTAACAGCTATTAACTATGATCATACGATTAATTCTTTTATTTTTATTTTTTTGTTCTTCGATCATATCAAATTATGTAATTCTTTTATGAACAGTTTTAAGAGATCATATCGAAATAATTTTTTTTTTCCAATATTGGTTTGAATTTTATTTTTAAACGATTTTAAATAAACAAACTATGAGTTTTTTAACTGTTGCAATAGATGAATCTGATAAGATATTAAATATTTTTTCATTGTGACTCTGTAAACAATTATCATCATTTACATTATGGCAAATTTTATTTGTTCACATCTCTTTCTTTTTTTTTTACATCGGAAATTTTTTTCATCATCACATTCTTCTTTCATCATTGAAATAAAATTGTTCATTTTCTTCACGTTGAATTCTGTTTCTCAATGTCTGTAATGTATTAGCATAATTTGATGATGAACGGTGACGTTTGCATGGCATCATTGTTGGTGATTCTAATGAACGTTTTTCTGATTGAGATGATGATGTAGTTCCTGTTATTTTTTCTTTAATCATTTGAACATAATGAATACGATAGTTTTTAGCTAAAGATACTATTGTAGGATGACGAGAACGAGAAGATGACATTTCGGATGGACTAGTTGAATGTGTTGTTGTATCACTAGAATAAGAAAAATTTTTTTTTTTTGTTTATATTAAGAATTATTTATTTGAATATTTACGTGAGATCTACTGTTTGACTATTGATTTCTTCTAATGTAATTTCTTCTTCATCTTCATCGTCTGATTGACTTATTGTAGATGTTTGATCATCATCACTTGAATCAATACTAAAGGATATATCATCACTATCATCTATTTCAAATAAATATAAAATAAACGAAGTAATAAAATAGAAAACGAAATATCTAACCATCACTATTATCATCATCATCATCATTATTATTATTATTATGACCACTTCCAAGTTCTCGTTGAAGAAGTGAATCAAAAAAAGCCAACATACGTTTATCTTCATCGTATCGTTCAATAGATGAATCATAATGTACAGAACCTTAATAATTAGAATAATGACATAATTCTATATTAAGGGGACCCCCCCCCCCTCAGAAAATCGATTTTTTTTGGCAAAATATTGAAGTTGAGTTTTTATTACAGGAAGATGCAACGAAGCTTCCTCTTTCAGAATATATATAGTTTTTTGGAAAATGATCAGATTATCAAAGACTTATCGCATGAAACTTAAAATCCACTACCATGTTTTTGTAGAAAACTTCATGGGTTTTTTAGGGTTCCAGTTTCAGAAAAATTGCGTTTCCACTAGCATTATCGTGGAATAGAACATTTTCATGCTGATCACAATGTCAGATGGTACTAGTTGCCATCATCTGTGACGTCCTTTCAGACGCCCCAGTGGAATACACCATTGCAACATGACTTATTCTGGATTTTAATGAAAAAATCCATCTCCAAAAGTTCTTTAGCATTTTTCTCAAAACACGGTTTCTAGACAAAAAAATTGAAATAACTCCCGCTCGGCTAGGCATATAATCCATGATATTTTTTTTGTTTTAAAGGTCTTGATTAGAGCTAACTTTTCATCGGACGGATTTTTGATATTGAATCCCAGGACTAAGAATAGTGGGATTTGCTGTCGTAGAATCACACTTTTTTATGCTTATTTTGCAAGCATGCTCACAAAATTGCTCATAAAAAATGAATGGAAGGAAGTTTCAAAATTCCGTCCGATGAAAAGTTGCGTCCGGAGGCTAGCTACAATTTGAAACCAGCTCGAGCTCTATATCCCTTCTCTGGACCGAGTTATTTCGATTCTCCCGAAAGGTAGGAAACTCAGCCGAAATTGCGTTTTAGTCGGACATGTCAAGCTGAAATTTTTATCACAAACGTTTCTCGCTAAGATCAATCATTCCTGAAAATTTCAGCCCAAACGGAGGGTTCCAAGTGGGACTTCATTTCTGAGGGGGGGGGCCCTTAAACTAAAGTTTCTTACCTGATTCTAATACAGCTCGTAAATAATCTCGATGTGAATACATTTCTTGACGTCCACTGAATATGTTGCTATTGTTATCATTATTATTATTACGAGTTCGATATGGCGTCCACATCTAGACTAAATTCAAGTATGTACATTCTTGAAATTCTCAACAATCATTAAATTAATAATTCAATAGTTATTTTTATATTAAATCAAAAAACGAATTGATAATGAAAGAAATACTAAAACATAATCGAATTGTTCAAATTTTCTTTTTTTGAAGATGATTCTAATTTCAAGATTCTTTACGTTTATTAAATATGTTTTTGTACGTGTGATTTATCTTACATAACGGTCAGTGATATTAATTGAATAAAAGAAACAAGAAAATAAATAAATATTCTACTAGTGTTTTTATTTCTCTGACCTGCATTCATACGAAAGAAGAAAATGTGAATGATAACCAATATGAAATTCAAATCGAACGAATAACGAAATGCATGATATGACTATTGAAAAATAATAGTAATTATAGCGAATTTACAAGAGAAGTGTTTCGAATGATAAACTGTTTTTGAGTTTGGACTTGATACATAAGGTAAATTCTAGTAAGACAGACATGGAACTGATACCAACACATGTTTCAAACTGGTCATTACCGGTGTGTCTTATTAAATTTTTTGTTCTTAGTATCTCATAGAGAATGTGTAATGAAACTTTGTTGAAAGTTGAATATGTGAAATGTCACTACTCATAGATAGAGTAGCATATCAATTCGTTAAAATAATGTCAGTATGCATTTTCAATAGACACTATTGGTCTGGTTTACTCAGGTCGCTCCTGATCGTGAAAAATCTAGACAAGTTCTATTTTTATAGTAAGATATGATAAAAAAAACCTCAATAGGATGTGTGAAGTTATGTCTTATGTTCAGAGTTATAACCATTTCAATGGACTTTTAGCCAATAAAATGGTACATAAAAGAAAACTAAACAATGGTTTTTTTTAGCATAGAATTTTACGTGCAGACATATCTGCTTGTAATATAATATTTTGAAAGTTTCAGGTTAAAAGAATGCTTTTTTTTCAGATATTTGTTAGTCAATCTTGTCAACGAGAAATGGCAATATCTGATATTTGACTAATATTATCTATACAAATCGTATCAAAATAAATTATTCTATTTATAGATTCCTTTCGATTGATTAACTTCTTTCTTATAGGTCAATACAATTCGAAAAAAAGAAATATTTCAAGTTACTTTTTAGCTCTCTTAGTATAGACTATGATAAAAATAAATCATACTTTGATGATTTTTTCGACACCACTTGATACAAGTGTATGTAAACGTGATGAATATCGAACTTGATTAACAACAGATCGATGTCCATGTAAAATCATATGAGCATTCCATACAAAATTATCTATTCATTTGAAGAAAAAAAAAATTGTCTTTATTTTTAATTTAAAGAATTAAAACAAAAAAAAAAAATACTTGAACTTAGATGTGAGCAAGATTGAAATTGAAGTGTATCTAATAAATTAGAATTTACGAATAAAAAACAGCAATGAAATTAATTTTTATATATCATAATCATGAAAACTTACCACTATCATCATTACTTGGTATTCGCCAAATATAAACATTAAAATCATCTGAACCTGATGCAATATACTTTTAAAAGACAATTAAATAATACTTTGAATAAAAGAAAAAAAGAGATACCTGATCATGATCACCAACAAAACAACCTGCTTTCATTGTACACAAATTTACAAAATTATCAGCATCAAATTGACAAAATGCACGTGGTTGATGAAGTTTGAAAAGTGCAGGAGGTAACCGACGTCGAAGAGCATATAGAAGACTGCCATTATTATTAAATGTAACGCTCATTCCTTCAATGCCATCATCACTATGATTAGTTGACATTTTACGTAATGAAGATATTGGTGCACCATAACGAAGTACAGGACTAAAGTATGAAATAATTAGTTATTGAAAGTTTTTCCTATCAATGCTACGTTATAGTCAATAGAAGTTATATATATTATTATATAGAAATCATTTTCATTTATTATAAAACGATTTACATCAACTTTTTCTTTGTCAATTATTTATCAAGATTTGATGTTTTTTTTTTCATATCAATCTATCCAATTTGCATTGTAGATATTGTTATAATGTTTTTCTTAAAATATGTTTCTATGTCTGAAAAATTATCTTTAGATGTATACTTCGAAAGAGTCAAAAGACTTTCGATTATGCTTAATAACCATCCGTCATCAGCTGTGACATTATTTGTTTTTTTTTTATGATATATGATCGATACTATATACGCATGTTAAGTACTAAAACAAATATTACGTCTCTTAATAAATAAATAACAGAAAAATATTCTTCATTTATATATGTTGTATTATTTTAAATCAATTATATGTGTTAGTATAACAACATCAACGATAAAGTTTGAGGTCTTCATTATTTAATAAAGTTGATTGGAAGTGCATTTCAAGCTTTTAATAGACATGCTTAAACATAATTTATGATATATATATATAAACGTATTTTAAAATAATTCTTTTGGTTTTACTCGATATGAAAAGTCGAACATTCATTATCAGATATTTATTTATTTAAACTAAGAACATTATAAATATATCTACAAGGTAAATAAGATAGACTAACATGAAAGACACTAGATCTCGATAAATAAATGGCAAAGCAAAAGTCAATATAAATCATCTCATAATAAACAGTATGATCTACAGTGAAGTTCCTTTCCGAAACAGTTTTGTATTGTATGATAAAAGATTAGGTCTAATTTTGTCTTTCTTTATAGTTTTGATAAAAATCAAAGAGTAAAATACATGATTAAGAACTTTTCTGAATAAAAAAAATCATTTACCTTTTACATAGTCGAGTATCATATAATTCAATGCCTTGTCGAGCATTTGCTGTAGCAACTAAACATGTTTGTTGTGGATGAAATGTACATGAATGAAATGAACCATCGAATGATTCAGCAACAACAATTGATGGTTGATCATGTTCAGCTGCTGATGAAGCCGAACGTAAATCATATAAATGTATATGACCATCCTCGGTTGCTGCTATAAATACATCATTATGTTGTGGTTGTACAGATAAAGAATTGACTGGAGATGACTCAAGAAATACATCGACTAATTCATCTGCATGATCAATATTTAATCCTCTATAAATTAGAAAATGACTAGACTAAAGAAAATTTTCATAGAATATTTATTTACTGATATTGTTTTTCAATATCATGTACTAGAATTTGTTCATCATTTCCTTTTTTTTTTAATAAAACAAAAAATAAAGAAGAAAATTTCAACTAAAAAAAAAAATTGTTTTTCACTTACCTGCTGAAATAATACGTCGATTTTGATTATCAAATTTAATTGAAAATATATTACTTAAATGTGTTGCTTTTAATAATGTTGGTGATCGATTAGATTCATTAAAAAGTGTTTCAGCCATATTCCATATAACTACACGTTTATCATCACCACCTAAAAATGTTTCAATTAAATTTTTATTTAAAATAGATATAAATTTATTTAACCTGATGCAAGAAAAATACCATCAGAAGAAAAATCAAGTGCATTTACACAACCAGAATGAGCATGTCCATCTTGATAATATAATTTATTATACAAATCAAAACGATGTTGTAAATATTTTGATCGATTAGAATTCCATTGATTACATTTCAAAGTTTCATCACGTAAATAATGAATTAAATTAATTGGTTTATATCGATATGTCATTTTAATCTAAAACGTTTCAAACATATAGATAAGATATTGTTCGAACACAACAAAAAAGGAAATAAAGAAGTAATAAAATGAATAACAATCAAATAAAAATATTTTGTCTATTGCCAAAAAAGCACACTGAATGCCATTGCGAGACAAAATATTGATACGTATTGACTTTTTCTTTGACCAATTCGAGCAAATTTCCAAAATGTACCACGAAATCTAAATTATACAACAACTATTAAGTATAGGTGGCAGCGAAGTTCAGCATTTAATAAATACTGTTTTATTATTCTATAATAAAAGAAAATTGTGAATGCATAAATCAAGGTGCAACTAACTGATTTTTTTTATTTCTGGTGATTGAAAATCAATTTTTACATGCTCATCATGAATCAATGAGAATCATCGGAAACGCTTAAAAGTGAAGGTAATGGAAACCTTGGCTTTACTATTTATATTACTACTGAAGATTTTCATTGATTTTTGATGACTTCTCTAGTTTCTAATGGTTTCCAATAATTTTTAACTACTTTCAGACATAATTCGTATTCCTAAGATGTTAAAATCATTTTTGGTAATTTCTCGTATAGAAAGCAGTTTGTTTCTTCTTGTTATAAAATAAAAGAACCTTGGTTTTTTTTTTGTAATATAATTTAATTGTATATTGAAGATTACTTAATAATAGACTTGTATTTAGATTTTTATTCTAATAATAAGTTAATTATTTTTATATTATTTAATCGAATAGATATATTACAAGAACGAATTTTTTTAAAATTTCTGAAACATAAAAACTAGGGTACAGGCAGTAAAGTTAAGAAATGTGAAAAGTCACGATTTGTGGCGACATAATATTCATTTTTAACAGCGTTATTTATAAAAAAAAAAATTTGAAAATATGTTTTTTTTAATGCTGTTATTCAATAGTGATATCCTTGATCACATAGCTGATTGGTCGTTCTGTTTAACTATCAACGACATTTTATCCTAATGCAATTCATGAATTCAGTATGTATAAATAAATTCTATTCGGATGGGGTACGAAAAGTCTTATCTGTGCAATATTCTAATAGAGATGTTGAATGATTATTGAGATTTATTAATTAGCAAACCAAAAGTTTTTTTTTTTTTTGTATGAATTCGAGGTGTGTAGTAGAAATGTCGAAAGAAAAAAAAATAGGGTAAAAATGTCGAAGGGAAAAATATCGAAAGGGAAAAATGTCGAAAGAAAAAATATCGAAGGGGAAAAATGTCGAAAAATGAATTCTAATATAAATAGATGTAAAAATGAAAAATAAAAGAAACAACGATGTCTCCCATAAATGATAACTCTAAATT